CAATAGCCCGCAACCATACATTTGCCGGCGTTCGAACAGTCGGCTCATCTTAGTTCGGCACTCGACCGATAAGCATAATAACACGTTTACGGAAATTTTACACTTGCTAATATCTGCGAATAATTGGCGATATATGACGCACACGCTCGCACACGGAGATGCACTCCATGATCTTTCTCTCTCTCTTTCTTTCTTTCTCTTTCTCTCGATAAAAGACCGTCGCTTTCACCCTGCATTGCGAGCAATTTTATATAACTTTCTGGTAGCACTAAATCCCAACATTGCCTAATTATGAGCACATTTTTCCTTAAATATCAGATCAGAGTACTGATAGTACATTAATGTTTTCAAGATAATTTCTTAAAAAATGAAACATATATACGTGATTAAAAAAAACGAAAAAAAAAATTCGAGATATTAAATTTTATATTAAAAATCTATATATTTCTTTGTGCATTAATATAAATCTTCCATGTAAATATAATAAATATAGTATGTAAGACAATAAACATTTATATTATAAATTCGGAAGGCTAATATAAAGTACTTTTTATATAAGTAAAATTGTTAATCAGTTTCTAGACAACACTCATATCTAAAAGATATCTTAAAAACTTTATCACGAATATCGTGATACATGTATAAATATACAATACATATATTTGTTCAATGTTCTAGTTAACAAGGACATTTAATTGCTCTACATTCCCTTTGCGTAATCACTCAGTAAATCTGTTTAGGATATCTAAGACTGTCTCTCTTTGCTAAGCCTAAGGACATTGGTAACATTCAACCGTTTCCGAAGGTCCGAGAGGCTACGAAGCGTGGGGAAAACAAGCAGAACTGGTCTCGCGTGCGTTGTATTAAACTACGCAGGATCCTTCGATCGGCTTGACTCGCAGTAATAATTCTCTGTTCTGGCGTGAACGATCTTTGCGAATGCTTCGTTCATCGCAAGGGTTAAAGTTCTTGATAGGCTACCGATGTAAATTGCTAATAGTTAAACTCCACAAAAAAAGAAATGGAGATTGTACGTAGAATCTCTTTTCTCAGGTTGAATATATAATTTAAAATGCCAAGATAAAATATGAAAGTACGACGTGTAATAACGGATCGGTGTACACTTTGAAAACAGACGCAGGAAAAGGTGGACACCTTCCTGTCGTGCTGCCCTCCTGTCGTGATTCCTACAGTCATTTTGCACCGTAATCCCTTTGTCCATTAATGTTAATACATAGGTTACCTTGCGTAATGCAATGCATTCAAGTAGTTTAGTTGCATTGAATACGTTCCCATGGCACAGAAGATTTTTTTATTAGAAGAAAATAGAGATTTAAATATAATTTTATTTCCATAAGAGCAAGCTACTTCAATTTCCTATCGTATTCGATATGTAGGTATATGTTCGATGTAGTTTCCGTTCTTGTGCAATTAGTACACAATACTCAAACGGATTGTGTTCTACAGTTTCATAGCAAGTACACGTTGCGTCATAGAGTAATTTGATTTTGACCGAATCGCGGGTGTGCATAGATAATGTTGAAAAGTTACGCAAGATTCCGTCGCGATTGCGATCAAGGTGAAAGTCTTCGAGCTCGGTAGAGCGAGACTTAGTGGTATCAGCAGGCGAGTCTCGTAAATTATAGGCAATGTCGTTGGAGAATGTCCTTTAACGACGAGCATCAAGGAGCCTTTTCTGCCTCGAGGATAATCGCATGCTTCTCGGTGGACTCGCACGTTTTTCATTGTTTTTCATGGCACGGTCCAGCAGCGATACGGATTCGTTCGTAGCGATTTTCTCGCCACGGTGTGTAGATGTCTATCCTGCGAGCCTCCAGTACTTTTAATGTACAATTATCTCGCGTTTATATCTGCGAGCGCAAATCGAGTCGCCTCGCATATGCACGCCTTCTAGGCAGATTAAGTCTAGTGCGTCACGCTGAATTTCACGGCAAACTGAAATTTTTATCCTAACCGGAGAATATCACTTTTCATGTGTAAAGGATATTTTTACAAAGTGAGTGGCTGCCTATAACAAGTTCTATTTTACCTTCACTTTAAATGCGTTTTAAAAAATTATTAAGAATTTGTAAAGATCTATAAATCACTCTCAACTATAACTATAAAAACTATACTTAAATTCCAAGTTCTGTTAGTTTGAATTACAAAATGCAAAAATTTCCGTTTTACAACGATTGATAAAGAGAGATTCAAAATTTTTTACCATCAATTTAGAATCTTATAACACCAATCTTATAGATTGTACAACCATCTAAAATTTTCAATTCGAGTTCAAATCATTGCTATAATCGAAAATTAATCTAATATGAAACAATTTATAATTCGCGCTGAATTACAAAATGAAATTTTATTTTTAAAAAATGAAGGTACATTTTATTATGTTAAATCATATGACACTTTGTCACTACTTCCTATATTTAATTATAAGTCTTTTCCTGAGAAACCAGAAATACCGAACGGCACTTCTGCATCATTCTGACTGCACTTTTTTCACGAACGTAAGACGCTTTCACTGAAATGCGCAAGATTCGTCGAATACTTCTGTAGCAAAAACTTACGCGTAGTATTATGAAATGAGAACGACATAGTAACAGTGACAAAATGTATAGTTAACATTGTTCAAATAAAGAAGAAATTAATTTAATGAGAATTTAATTCATCGTTTTTGAGATAATTGTACGTTGGGAATATTTTATGATGAGAGGAAGTTGATGGTAGAGATTGTGAATTCCACATGATTGTTGTCACATTAAAAATGTCAATAGGTTGAAATTTATTTCAACACGTTTCTTAGCAAGAATTTGTATTTTAAAATATATAGATATTTATAAAATTATAAAAAATAAAAACTTTCTGTGATATAATTTCCATCAATGTTATTTTTTCCCCAATAAATACATAAGATAAAAAATAAAATAAAATACAGAAAGAATAAAAATTCTGCAGCAGTCAAGTTAATATTTATTGCTCGTTCAATAGCAGTATGACGCAAGGCGTCTTCTGAAGCGAATTTTTATTAAGAGGAAGTTTCATGCTTGGAGTATTCGAGAGTCTTCGCGGTTACACGGTTTCTCAGGTTGAAAAATGTTAATATGCCACTGTCTCCATGGATTATGTCAGAAGAAGATCCTGCACAGAATCGACCTGGGTGAGTGCCGAGCTCCTTCCTCGGAAGGACTCCTCGCATTGGCTCCGGGGTGAATCAGTCCTTTGTGCCGGGCACTCTCAGGGTCAACCACTTTCGGTGCAGTATATACCTCCGACGGTTTGTATGTACACTCGCAAACACACTCGCCCGTCCCAAGCATGCCTATAGGGTATCCTGAAAGTCGCCGCGTAGCCAACAGTCAAGTACCACTGAGCTAGCTAGGTATTTTCAGACTGATTCACTGCCTCTTTCGACTTGCCACATCCTCTCGAAAGCATGAGATAAGATTTAATCCGTGCAACTCTAGAAATCATACTTTTCGCGGAATTAACTTTGAACACGTACATGGAATTTTCGTAATATTTATTGCTATACCTACGGAAACGCAAAAGAGTAAATCCAATATTACTTCTTAAGAAAAACATATATAATGAATCATGCAATAGAGTCAAGTGACTTTTAATAATCTTTTCTCAATCCGATTAAAAAACCGATTAATTAAAAAACATGAAGTTCGCGTTCTTATGTAGAACAAAAAAGATCGCGTTGCTAAACAACCTTGCTTCTTCCTCGGACTTCAGAATCCTTCCTCGATGTCTATTTTATGTAAACAGATTAGAGTGACGCGATGTATTATATAACATCGCGTTGTACGCATCCAATCGCGTCCGTAACTATACCGAATAATGCTATGATGGAAAAAGCTCTCGTGCGCATCAACCAGCAAAAAAAACCAAGCAACATTCTGTGCATTAAGAGCTCGTTAAAGCACGCGCATTCAGTCGTTTCTTAAACGTTCGAGGAGATTCATTTCGGTTGAAGTGGGTACTTCGAGAGAAACGACGATGTTTTCCATATTGTCGAGTCTGGCGGCAGTTAGAAGGGTTGAACCCCGCTGTTCCTTTTTCTCTGGTGATCCTGAAGTTTATTGGCTCGACGCCGTTCAAAGTCGAAAAAATAAATCAAATAGACTGCTGTGCGAGGGACCGAGAGTGGCGGGAGATTCGCAGGAAACGCACGGAGGAGGAGATGAGAATGAGAGAGAGAGAGAGAGAGAGAAGCGCAGCGAACTATGGCGAATTCATCTTTGCCAGCGGCAGAGGATGTTTCTCACGAAATTTCTCATCGCGATTCGCGAGCCTTTAATTCGAATCGCTGCTGATTCACTCATGACGTCTTGCAACGCAAGCGAAACAATCGCGGGCGATGCGATCAGACCGCAAACATCTTCCTTCTCTTTTACCGATCCCTCGCTGCGATTAAGTCAGCGTTAAGAAGTAATTGATTTTTGCGTTCAACGAACAGGTTCGATAAATCGTTTCGCGAGGATATCGGTAGAATACACTGGCGAGACGTCTCTCTCACACTTCTCGCATCTCCCTCGCCCATCTCATGCGAGAAATACAAGTCAGCCTCTACCGCTGACGTCATTGGCATAGATCTACTTTAGTCGATGGTTGATGGACTATTTCACCCAACAGCTTAAAAGCTCTAAAATAACTCTAAATAAAATTGAATCTAAATAGACTTGTTCGATTATTCATAACATGACTGCAACCTTGACAGAAGTGCAGAAAGAGTTGAATAAATTTCAGTAAAAGAAATTGGCGATTCGAAAGTTAAATTAATTTTTTTACTGATGTAGGCTGGATGTCGAAATGTGATCACTAAAATAACGTGTTAACAAATTTACTGCGTTTTATTTTTTCGCGACATCCATTTAATGAAATGAGTAATCTAATAATAAAATTGTGCAAGACTATATGAGCTTAATGATCGAAACAGTTTAACGAAGAATTCGTGATACATAAATCTCGCAATTTGATTACAGAAACGAGACGCATGACAGACGACACCAGGTGGGCGTTATCAGGTGAGGGTTCAGCAGCTTTCGGCGACGCGATCGAGAGATGTCGGATGCCGCCGGCACGGATAATCCGGCATTCGCCACCGAAGATGAGTGCGTCAGCGGTTCCAAGTTGGAGAACGGCAGCCAGCAGCAAGCGGCCTTGAACCAGGATCGCAAGTCCTCGGCGGACAGTGCGCCGGTAGAAAATGGCCACCAGCGATCCTTCATCTCCCAGCACTACGTCGAACCCATTAAGCCGAGCTCGGAGCCATGTTATAAAACGGAAACGAGAATTGAGGTGCCGGCCGATAACGCGGAGAAGACCGTGCCGGAACCGAAGCTCAATGGCGTCCACGGGAATGGCAATAATAACGACGCGAGTTTCCTTAACAACAGTGCTACGAGCGTACAGATCAACGGTGAGTTCACAAATAATATCACGTATACGATATCCCGCTACTATACATGGACACACTGAGGCTTGAATACGTTATATGAATACCTATGAACTTAAAACATGAGTAAGGGCATTTGATAAGATTAGAAGTAGTCGCGCTTCTAAAAGACCGAGTTAACTGTACATTTCTAGTTACGTAAATATAATGTACGAATAGAAGGAAAGGTACCACAAGAAACCGCTATAGAAAAGCTTATCATCTTCCATTACCGTCACCCGTAGGACACGATTTCAGTAAGAGCGAGACTTTCAATCGTTAATTACCGACATTGGTATTACTACCGGTTTGTAGAGAAAAAGTCGTTCATGACCGATAAAATCCCAGGAAGTATCACATCCGGGACTTTTCATGGTGGATCCGTTGACATACGTCACGATTATTAATATGTCTTTCTCAATCTCGCGGGTTTTAAAGTAACAACAGTAATTTCAAGTATTTCTTATCTAAATTAAATTAAACCGTCAATCTCTTCCTCTCATTAATTATTTGTTTATGTACTTCTTATTAACATACAATATCCTTATATTTCGTGCGAATTTGCTTCCCTCGTTACGCTATACATGCAGCAGGAAACTCGGCCCTGTTTAGTCACATTACTATTTCGTGGAATGCGGTTTCTCCGCTGTTTCGTGTGTGACCGGAAAATGAAAACCGGTTGCACCATACGCGTGGATGTACATATACCTCGATGGTAAACGGTTTCGCGTTTTCCCGTAGACTCCGGAAAGAAGGAGCAGATCGAGGCCGTAAATCTGGAACTGGTCTCGATGAGGCCATACACGGGCAACAATATTCAGACAAAGGGTCAGGAAGCCTGCGAGGTACCAGCTGATCCTTACGAGGAGTACTTCGTGCCGGTTAACGAGCATCGAAAGTACATCAGGTAACGAGTTATTTGTCAAAGCGAACGTATCTCTGATGCTTACGTATTCTTTATTTCATTTCTGGTTCCGCCTTCTAACTCTTATTTAATTATTTTTCGTAAAAACCAGCCGAATATGCGAAAATTCTTCCGGATTTTAAAAACAGGGAACAAGTTCAGAAACAAGAGAAAAACGTACGTCCTTATAGGATCTTCTAATTATATATATGTACCGGATATCACGATCGTTTTTAACAAAACTTTCTGTTATTTACAATGTCAGATTTACAATGGAAGACCATTTTTTCAAATACAAAAGTTGTATTGCGCACGATAAAAAGTTAACTACGTTATGAAAAACGAGAGTGTTTGCTATATAAATTAAACATACCAACACTATTAGATCCCGGCGCGCAATACATACATCTCAATATCCATTTTAGAATAATCGTACTGCTAGCACTATGTATGTCATAGAATTACGGTGAAAACGTCTAGAGAGAGAACATGTGTGTAGGATAGAAGTATATTTCCTAGAAAGAAGCGTACAAGAGTATTCCGTTGCCGAGGGAATTGTCAGGCGATAGAGATATCTAGCACCGTTTTTAGCTCCAGCCAATAGCACATAGAGCTTGGACAAGCTGCTGATCGAAAAGCCTCACATAGAGTGTTAGACGGTGTTTTCTGTTGTCACGGTACTTAGCAGGGGTCCCGAGGCCGAGGTTGAAACAACCGTAGCTGGAGTGCGTTTTGATTTGGGCCCCGGCGTCGGCCGTGAGGGACTCAGCCTGAGAGATCCCGCCGCCGGATTGGTCGACTATTCCCACTGGCTGACAGCCCTCAGGTACTTGACGGATGTTTTCGAGGGAAAAAAAAACAAAAAATACAGCTGGGAACTGTCTTAGTGGAATATACTTTAGGTATCTCTTAGGGGCACGCGGTCGCGTACTAACACGCTTATGCTATCTTCCCCCGAGTCGAATCGAATACGAAAATTTCTTCATAAAAATTGCACGTCCAAGAATTTACCCTTTGTTTCGTGTTCTATCGATACCGAGACGGCTTCTCCAAATAAGGGAACCGATAACAATATGGATCACAAAGATCGACACAAATACTGCTGCTATATAAACGTACGTAGGAATCACCGTTGATTAACTGATCAGGATTAATCCCGAAATGTAGTACCGTAAACCAATCAAAACGCAAACCAAATCTTGCGATATGTTATTATTATTCTCAAAATCTAATCGGAGATACTTAAGCAAGAAATGCGCGCGGCAGGGGCGCTACACATATTGATATATGATCCAGAGATTAGGCATTAGACTGGGTGCGACCAAGGAAGCTTCTAATCCCATAGACTGGACATTGACGAAGGTTGCTAGGAATCGCATTACATGCGCAACGCTGTATAAAATACGCTTTTTGGGTTTAGGACAAGAAAGACATTACATGCGATAGATTCATGTCTCTATGTGACAACGAAATTGTGTTGCAGGGGCGAGAAACTTTACGTTACGAAGGACAAAAGGTCTAGAAATTCATACTGGAGAAGAATGGCCTGGGGATGCGCGCTGTTGGTTATAGCAATTGCCGTAATCATCGCCATTTTGGCTGCAAGTAAGACGGGTTATTATTCTTTTAACTTTTTTTTTACAAGTTTTATTTTTACAAAACATATATTATTCATAGCAATATAAAAAAATATACTATCCATATAGCAATATAGAAAAAATATACATGTATAAAATAAATTAGACACTTTATAAGTATACGATAAAATTGCTCCAAAATAAAAATGTTGTGTCTTTATTTTAGCTGGTGTATTTCCAATATCAGCTACGGAACCCTTGGAAAACGTCGAAGAAAATAACACACGCCAATTTAACGAAGTACAAACGGCTGGAAGTCGAGAATATGTGAAGGATCCGCCATTAAGTCCACCACCTTTAACTTCGACTTTTCCGCCGTGGCCTACAACTGACGAAACGTTATTCGATATTGTACCCGATGCTCTGGATGGAACTTTGAGACTAGACGATTTTAACTGGAATGACGATTTTAGTGACATCAAATCTCGAGTATACAGACAAGTAAGCTCCGAGATAGAGGAGCATCTAGGGAATATTCTTCGACAAGCGGGCAGCACGTCTATAATTAAAGTATACGACATCAATAAGGAAGGAGAAATAAGATTCAGAATAAGTCATCCACCTCGAAATGCACCTGAAGAGAGTCAGGAATACATCGAAGATGTATTACGAAAAAATGGTAACATGATCGGAGAATATCACTTGAACAGACTTCATGTAGGAAAGCTTATTGATCAATGTGAATATGGCAATTTCGAGTGCACCGGAAACTGTAAATACGATTACCCTTCTGGCATATTTGTATGTACCTGCAAATTAGGAGAAATATTGCATCATGATGGCAAAACTTGCGTAGATGATAGCGATTTGAGCAATGTCGAAATGGATGATGTAATGCCACAATCTAGCACGGAACCAATTGATGATTTTCAAGGTAGAAGCAGAGATCCAGGCGCGATAGACTTCGAACCCAGACATCCCAATACTTGGAAAAATACGGACTTCAAAACAGTTTCGGTAGAAACAGACACATCGACGGCGAAGTCTAAAACAAAAGATGTTAATCCTGAGCAATCTGACATATCAATAGAACAGCAGACCGAATTTACACCAACGACGAAACATTCAGTTTTCGAGAATGATGATTCTCGTTGGAATCATGAATATGTACATCATTCGAAAGAAACCACCATTGAAGCAGAGCCTCCCATTAAAACCTTCCAAGAGCCTTCTGCTGAACTAGAACCTACCTCTGAACCAGAACCTACAACTGAACCAGAACCCAATGCTGAACCAGAACCTAATGCTGAGCCAGAACCCAATGCTGAGCCAGAACCCAGTGCTGAACCAGAACCCAGTGCTGAGCCAGAACCCAGTGCTGAACCAGAACCCAGTGCTGAGCCAGAACCCAGTGCTGAGCCAGAACCCAATGCTGAGCCAGAACCCAGTGCTGAGCCAGAACCCAGTGCTGAGCCAGAACCTAGTGCTGAGCCAAAACCCAGTGCTGAGCCAGAGCCTACTATTTCACCAGAACTCACCGTTAAATCAGAACCAGAGCCTACAACTATATTATCCGCTGCTGTATCAAATCCTGCTTCTGAACCAGAGCCCACTGCAAAACCAGAAATTGCTCCTGAAGTCGAATCTACTATTGAAGCAGAGTCTATTATTGAAAGAGAATCTACTGCAAAATTAGTGCCTGTTACAGAATCAGCAACAACTATCAATGAAACAGACAGTGAGGTAAAATCAAAAACGGAGTCGCAACATTTAACAACAGAATCGTATTTGAAATCAAAAACTGGAATATCTGATCGACCTGAATTCTCTGTTAAACCGATGTCTCATGGTGATACTTCTGAATCATCTACACAGACATCACCTTCGGACGATGCTGGTACAACTAATGTATTCAAATCTTTTATTGAGTTAACAGATAAAAGCGATAATTCCAAAAACGACGAAACTCCTATCACAACTGTAAAGCCTAATGAAAACCCAACAGACAATGATACACCCTTACAAGTAATACCTTTAACATCTAAAGATATCAATGATAATGTAGATACTAAAACAACAACAATACAATCTTATAGTAAGAATGATGAAATTACTGAAAGTACAATTATCGAGGGCGGTCTTACTACCTTAAATTATAGAGATTTAAAACAAAATGATGATGTAAATGTTATATCAGCCAAACCTGAGAATCGTGCGGAATCAGTCACAGAACAATTTACACAAAATCCTAATCTTGAAGAAAATAAAAAAAACGACTCTACTACAAAAACAAATTTGGATACGAATTTAAGTAATCTCCAAAATGATAGTTCTGCGATTAGTGGACACGATTTAATAACAAAGCAAAAATCAGACATCGATTTAAATGTTTTTGAACAGGTCAGTTTAACTACTGCAGCAACTACTGTGCCAGTCACATCACTAGAAGAAAAAACAGAATCGACTACTAAATTCATCAATAACGATAGACATTCATCGACAGGATATATCCATACAATAGAAATAAATGGCGTAAATAATAGAAACCCAGAAACAAATAATTATACTAAAGTACACGAGACAACTACGATACCAGAAACTACTCCAATTGATATATTTACTCAGTCAATACTTGGATATCGGGAAGAACTTGTACCCGAGCCCGCATTGCAACCAAATACACCAGATTCAAACGAGAAAAATGTCATCGAACATATGCCGACAACGGTCTTCCCTAAAGTACCGGAAAATTTTGCTCACAATGTCGAGCCACTCAGGGAACCTATCGTGAAATCGGCAGACGACGAACATATCATGTTGATACCAAAATCCGAGCAACCAGTAGAGATACACGCGATAATTCCACAACTCATTCCAGAACAAGCCACAAATAAATCTCTGAAAGTAGAAAATTCGACAACAAAAGAGAACAAATCTGTAGAAGATACAACCTCGATCGACTCATCTACAATACGTACTAATGAGAATATCGTTCCTGCGAGCAATAATAAACATGCGGTACGCTCTGATGAAATTCAAGAGCATTCAACGAGTCATCCTCTTCACCCGGCGGTATTTCCAGAAAATTCGGTAGACCATTTTACAGGGAAGTCAGACGATCGACCGGCTGAAGATATGTCACCATTCTTACCAGATGTTCATAAAGAAAAGGAAAGTCTAAAGAAGCCACGCTTAGATAAAGACGAGCAAGATGGTCCTAATCCTTTTGAAACTCATATCGATGATGTTATAACGCATCGACCATTAACACGTAATAATGCAGACAGAGTAAATGAAACTGAAACCAAAGATTTATTAAATGACATTAATTCCAAGAATAACGAAAAGAAGGTAGATATCATGAAGGAAATCACACAGAACCATGAAATAAATATGACAAATGATGTAGGCAACAGCACAAATACTAACAATACAGAATCTAAGATTCTGAACGTATCACATCAAAATAATACAGCGAAATCAGTCGACAATGACGGAACAAAAGGCATTACAGATCAGGAAAATGGCGGTTTCTCCGAAGATAAAGAATTGAAAGTGATCCCACTGGCAGTAGATAAATCAGTAGATTCAATTTCTCAAACTACACTGCAACCTTTAGATAAGAAAACGGAACCTGAAGTTGTAACTTCCATTGGAAAGAAAGTACAAGAAGTTGAAGGTATCACGATAGAAAGTGGTGTGACAAGTTCAGAGAAACCAGAAGAGAATGCTGTCGAAGATCATTACAACGATATTACAGATGAAGCTTTGTCAAAAGGATATCAGCACGATAATACCGGCATTCCGATTAAAGTTATAGAGTCGTCCAAAAAAGCAGTTTTAAAGGACATTGACCCTATAAAAGTTTCTTATAATGGCCCTTATTCGTCGTTAACTACGTTCGATGTCGTAAAGAAAAAAAATGGAACGAACGAAAAGATATCTTCTGATACGACACAAAGTCCGATGATTACGAAAACCGATGGAGTTGTAAACAATCAAATGGAAGATGGTAGATTGACTACACAAGAACCTGTATTGCCTATAGAAATTCAACAGGAAATGTCCACAACAACCGACAAAGTTGAAATCACGACTGTAATCGATAATGGAAAGCATGAAGAGAACAATACGGAACCGCCGAATGTTGGTCAATCCGACGAGAAAGAAGTTATTACAGCACAAATGACAACAACTCAAGCCACGCTGGAAACTAAGACTACAGCTCAGATCCCGATCTTGCCCGAGGAGCTACAAACGACAGAAAGTGATATATTATCAACAACATTGAGTGAAGAGATATCGAGTATAGACAAGAAAATAGAAACTACTGATAAAACAGTTTCAACGGATGATGCTAACAATGCAATGAAAAAAAACGAAGCAGAGAAGGAGAGTGCTGTTACACCCAGCAACGTAATGGATACATCGGAAAGAAGCATGGCAGCGACAACAGTGTACGAGAGTAACGTCAGCTTAGGAACTGGCCGGAAAATAGAATATGATAAAAATGGACAGATAATTGAAAGTGTGACGGAAAGCATAAAAATTGAGACTACTCCTATGATGTCCACGATAGGAAAAGATATTGCAGGTGGCGTAGAAGGAACCTCGCCTATGCCTAACGATGTCACCACCACGGAAGATGTCAGACCGGTTACGGAAGTGTTGGACGACACGGAACCCATGATGGATTATAGAATATTGTTCACCACGGTTCCGCCAAGACCGATATTGCTTGATCCGGAACTGTCTGAAGAGGCGCTCAGAGTGATACCGCTGGAAAAGAGTCAGGAAAGCAAGAAAAAACCAATCGACAAGAAGGGATTCGACAAACACAAATACAAAAAAGAAAAAGACCTAAGTCTGGAGGATCAGAATGAAGACAACGTTTTGACGGAAAGGTTCGATCAGACCATACTTTCCCAAACGGAACCATCGACGATCACGACTGCAGACCGCGAGGAACTGCATGACAGTGTGGTAAGCTCGGATATATACCCAAATGTACCCAGGTTCACCGTGGCTGACAAGGAAGGCAACATCGTGCCCATATCGAAATGGAAAGATACAGCGGCTAGAACCGAAAATAAAGATGTGGTCGCAGAGACGAAACCCAAAAATTATCCTACCATTATACCTGTGTCGGAAGAGATAATAGAGTCGGTACCAGTCACGGAGCCCTACGTAATCATGCGAAATTATACTCGTCACATGATCATAACGAACGATGCGGAAAAAACGGCTGCAAATGAGACGACAGTCGAAGGTCAAACTAATGCAAGAGCAAACGAAACGACTGGACAAAACACCACCTTTTTTTCGGATCAAGTATTCAGCGACCACGAAGAAACGAAAGTAGATCACGTTACGGAAGAGTCGACTACGCAAACTTCAACGTTGAAGGTGGAGATCGAGAATACCACCGCTAGCAGTCCTTCGGAATTTTCGTTTCCTGGGAGCCCCTTGAAATGCTCCACAGGTCAATTTCAATGCGTTAATGGAACGTCTAGGAACGGTGCGTATTGCGTCCCACAGTCCGCCAAATGCGACTCCGAAAATGATTGTTCCGACGGCTCGGATGAGTGGAACTGCACAGCAGAAGGTTGTTCGAGTAACTTCCGCTGCGCTAATGGACATTGTCTAAAAAGGCACCTTGTTTGCAATAAGATAGTAGATTGTGATGACGGCAGCGATGAACATAACTGCGAGAACTGGCAGTGCCAGTCTGATGAATTTAGATGCCCAAGCGGTAAGTATTGAGTACAATTGATATACGAAACGATATGCAAGAGTAATAATGGAATGATAATGGAAAGTAATAAAGTTCCAAATTCTTGATTGTTTGTTAAGACTTTCAAAAGCTTTTTAATTTTGAATAAAATATTAGTAGAATTTTATTACATATACAAAAAGATTTAATAAATCTTGAGCATATTGCTAATAATTAATGAAATTTAATAATTACAATGATTGAGATATCTCAAATAATAATTTTTATCAGAATCACGATAAAATTATAAAATTTTACGATTGTAGGAAGATGCATTCCGGGATTATGGCGGTGCGATGGTCGGCCTGATTGCGAAGGACATCAGGACGAGTACAATTGCGCGGAAACTTGCGGAAACAATGAGTATCTGTGCCCAACGGAAAAGTGGTGCATCCCACAAGCGTGGCATTGCAACGGAGTTGCTGATTGCGTTCATGGGGAAGACGAAAAGTTATGCGACTGTGCCCTAGATCAATTCAAATGTCAAACCGGTGGATGCATTCCCCGGAACCAAGTCTGCGACGGCATCGAGAATTGTCCGGATTATTCGGACGAATGGAGTTGCCTAATCGCCAATATTACTGCAAATCGAAATCTCACTAACGCGGAAACGGATAGCAACACGGCGAGCGAAGCGAATCGCGTGCCATTTTTGATGATAAGGTATTTAGATCATACCAAATAAATATAATAAATTTATTGTTTGTCTTCCTGATTTCTAAATTATGTTTATTAATTCGAAACCGCGAACCAATAACGTACTATTTTATTAAAGAAAGAAAAAAAATAGTTTAATAAAATGTGAAATGCCTATGCAAGCCTCTATAGTTGTTGGTGCGTAAAAAAGTTAAATCTCAATAATTAAAACTTAAAACATTATTATTCAATATTATGTAAAAACGTACAAATGTTTCGATCTTAGATTTGGATCCTCTTCAATATAACAGTCAAAAAAGTATAGTAATAATAAGGTGAAGTAATCTCTTCTCCTGACAGTCGTCCAATATCGAAAGAGTCAAATAATAGGTCTGTTCGTGTTACATAAAATCCCTAAATAATTTTGCACTTAAAATAAGATATATAGATATATATTTGGCCTTTAAAAGAAAGAAAGCAAAGATGCCGAGTAGCAAAAGTGCAAGCAACGCGAACAGACCTAATAAAACGACGATCAAAATGAAAAAATAAAGCAAGAAGAGAGATTACGCTTTCCAAAGTTATGTAAAACCCCAAGTAGCACACAGCTCCTTATACAAGATGTTAAAAAAGCACTAAAAAGAAGTAGCACAGCAGCGCCTGTAAGCGCTTTTACAGCTGTGCTATTTGGGGTGCTATAACGAGAAAAAATAGTTATAATCATTTTTAAAATCCTAATTTTTTCATTAGATAGAAATGAGTTAATATGAGTATTAATAAGTATAACTTTTTAGGAAAATTATAAAGACGTGTGCTTATATAAATAAAAAAAAAATTCTTAAAAATATTGGGAAACAATAAAAATAAATATTCTAAAAATTAATAATAAGTATTCCATGCTACTTTGCAATATAAAAGAGATATAAAATTTCGATCCAGACAATATAACGGCGACTATCAACTAGTCTGCTCGGACGGATGGAGCGATGAATTCAGCGATTCCTATTGTCAAGCTTTGGGATTCGCCGGATCTGACGAGACACTCGAATCGTTCGCGTGGGATAGAAGCCAGAAAATCCTAAGACTGAAGACAAACCCTAATTATCGCCTGCCGCTAGTCACGAACTTAGAGGAAGTGGGATTCTGCGTCTCAGACAAGGTCATGCAAGTATCGTGTCAGGAATTCACTTGTGGTCTGCATCATGCGGAGGAGTCGACCGCAAGATTGACAGATCCTCCTGAGCGATGGTCTAGTACAGCCTTGTTGAAGAAATCGGAAGAAGGAACCGTTTGTACAGCCAGTATAATCGGCCCTATGCATGCTCTAACTAGTTATTCCTGCATCTATAGGTAATTTGATACAAAAATGATTGTACGAATTTATTTATAAAGAGCAGACAAACCATAAAAGACCTAAGGCCCAGTTTCACGCAGGGATCTTATAATTTTATTTCGATTTATAAAATAAAATACTTTTTTTTAACATAATATGTAACACATTATTGTTAATATACATAATTTTTTACACTTGATCCAGTAGACACAAGGAAAAGAGTGGATGGCAGCTTTTCATCAGTGGAAATATGTTAAAAGGAAACACCGTTAAAAATATCATCCCCTATCCTCGAGTGAAATATAATCAGTTCCTGTACAATAACGACATCGCTCTAATCGAATTAGGAGAGCCATTGGTATTTTCCAAAAACATTAGCGCCATATGTCTTCCCAGACAGCCTATCCAGGTATACTTTCAATTAAATTTTCTGATAAGGCTATGTGTAGCTAATTATTGTTTAATTAACATATTTCTAATCTCTATATACGTGATGATTTTTCAGCCGGAGCAAATTTGCCTAACAGTAGGATGGGCATTCCCTAGGAACGGGGAAATGAATTTACAACAATATCTCAAATTTATGCCTCTTCCATTGAATAATTCCGATAAGTGTAATGCCACAAGCCATTATGCAGGATTCATTACGAAACACGATATATGCATAGATAAAAACCCTTGTTATGTAAGTTTGACAAAAAATGCAATTTTTACATTTCTATAATTATTTTAAAGAAATAATAAAAATTTTAAGAAACTTCTACGAATATACTCATCTCTTTAAGTAGATTTTAAGGGCATAAAACACATATATTAATATTTACGCTTTAAACAAATTACATACAAATGAAAGTTGTGTTCGTAACATTCTATTTTATTGAGCAACACATTTTTATAAATTATTTGTTTTATTTGATATTAGTTTTATTGTTATAAACAAAAATTTTAAAAATAACAAAAATCTAAATTTTTTTATTTAAATATTTTAAGTACCAAAAATGACTTATGTAAAGTTTCATTGAGATTCACCAATTAGTTTATAACAAATAAATATTTTGTTTATTTATTGAACAATTAATGTCTGTATCTCAATGTAACTTTACATAAATATTTTTGAATTCATAAAGTATTATATTTAAATAATGAGATTTTTATCATTATTTTATAATACATTTTTATATATTTCTATTAGAGAGTACAAATTTAAAAAATATCACTTTTTATTGAAATAACTTTTGATCCAGATAACTTTTGGTCATAACTGTCTCTAATTTTTTTGTATTACTTTTAAATGCAATTTAGACTAATCTGTAATTTTTTCAAGTAATTCTTGAAAAATAGAAGATCACGTAAATTTCCAGTGCTTTGTGGTAACTATTCCAATTGATTGTAATTTATACTTAATAAATGATCGTTTGAAATTGGAACTACAAAGTATCAGAAATTTACGTGATCTTCTATTTTTAGATTTGTCATTTAATAGTTTACTGTATTTACCAGCAACTATAATGTTCTTAAAGAAATTGGAGTTTCTATAGATTTCAATGAATCCATTACAAACTCTGAGATGTGGTAATAAGTTTAAATATTAAGTTTAAGTACTAAGTCTCGTTGAACTGTCAGCTAATATTATTCTGCAACATAGGTTGGTCGCTTCTAACTAACTTGTATATGCACGGATTAAAAGCAACTCGTTACTTGTAACACCATTACCGTTACACTTACTTTTTTTGGTAACGAATTTTACAGTTACTTTTATCGTTGCTTTTTATATTTTGAACCTTTGGCTGCAGCCAAAAAGTAACTGCAGCCATAAAAGTAACTGTAAAATTCGTTACCAAAAAAAGTAAGTGCAACGGTAATGGTGTTACAAGTAACGAGTTGCTTTTAATCCGTGCATATACAAGTTAATTAGAAGCATAATATTAGCTGACAGTTCAACGAGGTTTAGTACTTAAACTTAGTATTTATCATGGTATTCATAATTATAGCGTTTAAATGCCGGATCCGAACGGCGTTGATGATCAAAGATCTCTTCTTAATCACCGTTATTGTTTAATTGAAGTCATTTTCGACTCCTTAAACGCGAAAAATCGCGTATGTGAGCGAAAGTGGGATTTAACCCGGATCTACAGATCACTAGTCAATCGCACTGAGGGTGGAGTCCCATGAAGCGTATTTGCCGGGTATCGCGTAACCGTGTAACTAATCGATAATCAGTAAAACGCGAAATCACAACAGCGGATCGCTTCTGATTGGTTACGCGGTTACGCGATACGCGGTAAATACACCTCATGGGTATCCAGCCTGAGTGGCAAGCCACTCGACGCTTCGTAACATATTGCCTTACAATCTCCTTAAATAATCGTATTCAATTAATCCATTGTAATTATAAAATATGCATCATTATATCACATAAATCGTAAATATATAAAAACTTTAACTTCAAAAATTAATTAAAAAGTATATGCAATATTAACAAATTATTAAAAACGTAACATTAATGCGTTGAAAAGTTATAATTACATATTAATGGTAAATCAATTTGTGTTTTTAGAATGACGAAGGAACGTCACTGATGTGTACCAGTGAATCGCAGGGTGCTCCGGGAAGATGGGAAATCCAGGGAATACTAAGTCATCGTAGAGAATGCTTGGGGAGTCATCCAGCAATTTACTCAAGCTTGGAACCAGCGCTCCCGTGGTTGCGCGAAACAGTGCCAGCTTTGCAAACGCAGAGCTAAATCATTGTCATAACAATTTATCGAAGCCGGTACTTCATGTTAGACAAGAGAATCACATAGTTTTAATAAGAAAAAGATGGTGATTCTATATATATATAAAACTACGCAGAAGAAAAATTCGAATAGATCTCCCTAATTTTCTTTATGCTTAAAAAAGTCCATATTCATTTACATTCGCATCTTCTCTTTTTCCAATTTTAATGTTCCTATTGATAGCACGAAAGGTATTTTAATAATTCTCGAATATCGCAACAGCGGTGAGTTATCATGAGAAAAATTTAAGTGCTTTTATTGTTATACGACAGATCGCAGGGAGAGCGAAAAACTCTAGAGAATTATGACATTCGTAAATGTACGAGAATTATGACACTTGTAATGAAAATCAAAGACAAAATTATACCGACTTATAATTAAGGAATCATTATGTAAATATTGTATAAAGTAATTGTTTATTATGGATAATGTGGTATAAGAATTAATTAGTTTAACGGGTCTCTTAAAGACACTTTCTACATTCTTGTATTCAAAATTACTACTTATTACTATTCACACAAAATTATTACCCCACTTGAATTAAAAAATAATTTTTGTGATATATTTTGGATATTTCCAGTACACTTTATATACACAATTGATATAAGATATACCTATCTAATTATTTAATATGAGAGACCGATACATATGCATGTCCGATTACATACGAATCAATAGTTTGTCTCAGAGATCCTAAATAAGGATTTCTGAAATGAACAATGGATACAATTAAGCAATAGATAGTATAAATGTATATAATATATAGCTATTTTTTAATAAAATGCATTGTTATAGAGATTAAACAACAAAGTATGTTTACACATATACGTAGTCATTGATGAATGCGTATTTTTATATATTTCGAGTAAAAATGGTAAATAAATGTATTTTAAACAATTCTGATATTTTCCTTCATCAATGACCAATCGCTTTTAAAATCCTTCTATATAATAAATAAGTTAAAAGATAAATGATAAAAATGATTTTGCATTATAAAAAAATCGAAGCAACAATATTAACTTGTATTAATTAAAACATAATATAAATTAATCGATATTTAAATAAGCCAAACAATTATCTCGTTAATCATCTGTCTGTTTCTTCGGCTTAGCTGCTACTTCTGCAGCTGTAACTGCATTATCTAAAATAATTAATGATTCTGATATACTATTTATAACTGCATTATATTTAGACAGCAGATCATGTACGTGAGCATCTAACTCTTTGGAATCTTCGTAAGCTTCGAGATATGACAGTGACAGTTTGTTAAGTGTATTATTTAATTCCGGCGCATCTTTGATACGTTCTGATTCTAACACAGGCATGAGTTCCTGTACTTTGTTTAACAGCTTGTGATTCTCCATAATCTCTGGCTCCATTGTCAACAACAGCTGTGCTTTAGCACTCGTGGGCATATCAACATCTTCACAAGTAGGTTCCAAGTATCCATTTAACTCCGGCAAACGTTTGATAAGCGTGTTTGGTTTTTCTCTGCCTGACAATGCTGAGCTGATTAATGAATTGACGTCTGTGAGTCGATCAATAATAGCGTTTGACGGTGCAGGATCATCGATATTCATCATCTTACCAAGTCCATATACTTGCTTCTCTAAATTAGCGATTCTCTCTTCTAGCAACTTGACAGACGACATCTTGAGAGCTGAAATACAGCATGGATCCTTGTACAAACCGTCATTAAAGATTAATGTATAATTGTAGTTCTTTGTTTCCTGTTTCTTCCTTTTTACCACTTCTTAGTTTAAACTATGTATACAATGTACTCCTTGCTTCTTGTTTCTTGCTTTTTTTCCTTTTACACTTCAATTTGATTTCTTGTTACATGTTTCTTGTCTCTTCAAAAATTCGTCAACTTTTATGTTTATCTCATGCAACAGAAAATGAAGAAATAGAGTAATAAACAAAAAAACAAGAGATAAAAAGTAAGATAAAGATTAAACATTATAGATTAGACTTTTATACCTTGCCTCTTATTCTATTTCTTTGTTTTTTGTTGCTCGAAATAAAAGTTGACGAACTTTTGGAAGAGATAAGAAATATGCGATAACCTGAATAAAGTAATCACAAAGAAGGAAAAAAGAAACAGAAAGAGCACATTATAGATTAGATGCTTCAAAATACAAGTAGACAGATGACTCAGTAGATGTATGTGCAAGTCAATTATTCTGATCTTTATTACTCTCAAAATTCATCTCTGTTATTTATGCAATCAATTAAACAGCACTCCTTGTTAATCAATTAAATTTGTTTAAAAAAAAAATTAAATTGCATTAATGTGATCATTCACTGATAGCATATATTTACGCAGTTTCAGTGTACAGAATAAAATCTTCCTCGTAGAGGACGTTTTGGAATGTAACCTTAACTATATTTTCAATAAACGGTCAAACAGCAGAGAACGCAAAAAGTTTAACTTACGGAAAATTCCCGTAAATTACACAATATTATCGATAATTGAACCACTTACTTGTCGACAAAAATCCAAGTAAACAAAGCCAGAGTAAATTTGACAGAAGTCAACAAAGGTTAGAGGTTATACGTGGGTGGGGAAACTACTAAACCATAGGGGAAAATATTGGAAAGGGTATTGATAAGTCACTAGTCGGAGAAACAGGCTTTCTGGTGATATCGCCGTTTTTCCCAATTTCTTAACTTTCTCTCTGCTCCGAGTTGCTTCCAGAGGCTCCGCAAGGTTCCGGGAGTTGGCTATCTATTTTCTCAGGTAATCCGTGCCGCCACGCCAGCCAATCGCGCTCGAAGAAACCGTTACGAGTTTCCGTTGTGTATGCGTGTTTGAACGATCTAGTGCACATTTGTCATCTGCGTGCCGTGAACCACTCCCGTGTGCGGTGTTACCCGTGTTTTCGCGATCCTCGGTAAGTTGTGCACGGAACTCAAGGTGGACTGCGCCCTTGCGAGGTACGCGACCGAAGGAGGCGGATTAACGAGCAGGCGACGACGATGGCAGGTCGCACGAGGTCATCCAAGCGGCGGTCGCGTGCACCGAAATCGCGAGAATAAAGAATGCCGAATATGTCGACCGCGACAGTTTCGTAGCAAAAAAAGCGAATGGAATGCCGTCCGTCTCGGGATCTCCTAGAGTTCGATCGTCGGTCGTATTATTCGAGATCCCGCCCGTTGACTTTATTTATATCGAACAACGCGCCGAATTGCAATGCAATCGCGATTTTAACATTCCTCTATTCTCTAGGGACTGATAATATTCGTGATAACCTGCTCCTACGTTCATTTCTATGCCAGTGTAGATTAACTGTAATCTCGGTTTAACTTTTTTTTTATCTCCTTTTAGTCTTAAGAAACAGGAAAAGATAAAAGAAATAAGTGAAACCAAGATTAGAATTAATCTACATTGGTAAAAATGGACATCAGTCCAGACTTAAGGCTGATTACAGCTCGTTACTATGCTAGCGTCTTGTTATTGCATCATTTGGCATTGCTAAAATATGCTAATACTTCAACACCTAATCTATTGTTCTATGCCTTCCAGTTAAAGCAAACGGAGCAACATGGCTGTTAACGTGTACGCTACAAATATGACATCGGACAATCTCAGTCGCCACGACATGCTGGCGTGGGTGAATGACTGTCTACAATCTTCGTTTACCAAGATTGAAGAGCTCTGCACTGGAGCAGTCTATTGTCAGTTCATGGACATGCTCTTCCCAGGCAGTGTACCTTTGAAAAGGGTCAAGTTCAAGACCAATCTGGAGCATGAGTATATACAGAATTTCAAAATTCTCCAAGGTGGCTTCAAAAAGATGAATGTGGATAAGGTAAGAAACTTCTGTTTTCTCTTCCCACTAGCTCTGACAAAATTGCTTTAAAAACAATAAATAGGTCTGTTCGCGTTGCTTGATCTTTATGTATTTAGCGTCTTCGCTTTTTCTCTTCAATGCCTTTTAACATATATTTATTTCATTTTGAATACAAAAATTTTGGAGGATTTTAAACAACGCAAACAAACCTAATATATGACAAAGAGACTTATCCATAAAATGATTAAAATCCATAAAGATGATTTTAGACAAATGTATAAAAGGTAAGCCGTTGTGATACGCGCGATATAAACTGCGATGTTACTTCAAGATCGCATTGCCCCGCATGTAATAGCATAACTTTGTGCGAGGCTGGATGAAATCGTAATGATACGACCATGGAAATGGTTCAGGTAATACCAGTGGACAAGCTGATAAAAGGGCGCTTTCAAGATAACTTTGAGTTTCTACAGTGGTTCAAAAAGTTTTTTGACGCAAATTACGACGGACGTGAATATGACGCTTACGACGCGCGCGGCTGCATACCGCTAGGTTCTGGCGTGGACGGAACGCACACTTTATCGAATCCCCAGTTGGTACCTTTGCCACCACAATCGAAACAGCCGCAAATGCAACAAAGACATATACAGCAACGTAACATCGTCCCGCGGCAGCAACAGGGTATTGTTGCAGTCTCGATTTTACATGGCTGCTTCTTGCATGTTGTATGTTTAGATAATGATATTTTGCAAGAGCGATACTACACGTGTACAAGCACATGCACATGCAATTTATAGTGCAATATTATAACTCAATTTATTTGAGCCACGTTATTTTAAATCTGTGTGCATAAACATGTTACAAGCTGTTTTTACAATGTTACATGCAAACACGCACACTTCACGTTACATGCACTCTTTAGTTTTACATGTCATTCAAATTTGAAAATCTAATGCAGAAATCTAATCCATAGAAGATGTATAGAAATATGTTGCCTATATTTTAATTTATATATAAATTATTGATATATAGTGTTAAAATAATTTTTTTCCTATATAATATATATATATAAACACATACAAGGTAAATCTTAATCGTTATACCAATGTTTTATCATGGGAGATGAATATTTTGCTTTCTCTTATGCATGGTCCTTTATGACCTTTACGCTCTTTCCAGTCTTTGCAGTCGGTCATTCATCTCCCTTGGTAAAACGTTGGTACAGTTATTATTATTCACCATGTATTATTATGGCTGGTATTCGTACTCCATTTATCACAAGACCGTCTTAAGTAATGTCTTAAGACTCTAATACAGCCCTCTGATTGGTTCGTAACATCTGAAGACTGTACTTAAGACAGTCTTAAATATAAGAATCGATTATAAGTACTAGCTTATATATATAATATATAGATACATAGATGTATGCATAGATTAAGTTGTTTCACGTTTTATCCTGATTTTGTACAGAGCGATAGGAAGAGTTTCAGAGAAGTGTTTATTTTAAATAATGTCGTAAGGGAATTATTTTCTAATATTAAAACCGATTGATTTTAATATAAAACCGTGTTTAGAGATTCGTGTATATTTAATTTTGTTTCATTTTCTTTTGTTGCACACGTCTTCCACTCCTCCTTTGCAGATTGTGCCAATTGATAGGCTGGTGAAAGGCAGGTTCCAAGACAACTTTGAGTTTTTGCAATGGTTCAAGAAATTCTTTGATGCAAACTACTCGGGAGCAGAGCCGTATGATGCGCTTGCTATGCGAGGAGGAGAGGCTATGGGTAGTGGCGGAAGTAATGCACCTCGTGGTGGTTCTAACGCGAAACGTACTTCTCCACGTGACACAATAAGTTCGACTAAACCGGCTCCTCGTACTACTGGTACATCATTTAATAACTTTACTCTTTGATGCAAAAAATTTTGAATTTTAACATCATTAAAAAGAATGGAATCTCATGATAATATGAAGAGAGAATAGGTTTTTTTATAAATACAATTTGAAACTTGTACGTTAACACAGATTTTGTACTAATCAATAATTGATATTGACTTGATTGCTTGATTATCCTTTGATACAAGAAAATCTGATTGATCTTATATAGCAGGCAAGGTAATATTACAGAATAAATACAAAGTCAGTAGGGGGATTGAACGAACTGACAAATCTATCTTGTAATTTTATAATAAGGGATCCGTGATATCAATTGACATACTTCTCCTTGTTAAATATTTCAACAGGAGTTTCAATTATGGATTATTGCATAATATCCCTCAATAACTTGAAATAAAATTTGCCTTTAGGTGAGGGACATCCATCTACCATGCGTGCAGATAGTACAAACTCTTTAGGTGAAATTTAATATCTCTTTTTGTTTTTACTCTCGTTACTCGTATTTTGCTTCTCTAGCTCCGTACATGTTTTAATACTGAGGTATATGAGGAAAGTATAGAGTAAATTATGTGTGTGTAGTTTTTGTATTCATTGATTAAAATATTTGAATGAATTTTATTAATACTGATTATCGCAATTTATGAAAAAAAAATGGTTATTAAGACAGGAAAATTTGAAAAGTGACACATAACTAAGAATGAGATGTGTAATCACAATATATTGTTCCCTCACTTTGATACAAGTACTATAATTTCCACTAATTTATGATAATCGTCTGTGTCATTATTACTCTATAATGATTGTCACTATCAAAATTTACACTATATTATTATACAAGTTAATAAGAGTGGATCACATTTCTTAGCACTTACCTTGCAATTTTCTTTTATTATAAATAAGATATAAAGATTTTATTTCTATATTCATATATATATATATATATTTCTGTAAAATTTATTTATTACGATTGTAAAATACACATTGTGCATGATTTTGAACTGTATTTCTGCATGCCTTGTTTTGCTTGCACAAAAAGCTTGTATATTTTTATATATTTAAGTAGCTTTCTTAATTTTTAAATAAATCACAAAAAAAATATTCTAATTTATGTTACAGAAGTATAAATACTTACTTATGATTTTAAGATAGTATTTTAAAGTAATGTATTTTTATTCTTTATCTAGTAAATAAAGTTCAGCAGCCGTACCGTGCGCCTCCCAAAAACACAGTTGGTAATCGTGGTGATAATGGAAAAGTTGAGGAACTTAGTGCGCAGGTATAACATCATATTTTATTCAATAGATTACATTTTTTATATACCTCTCTCTTTCAACAAAAATTAATGAAATATCTTACTAGAAATTAAATGCCTATAACGGTCAAAGCTGGATCTTTAATGCCTACATAATTCAATGTGAATATATATTTACTACATGCATATATACATACCATATTCGTAGTCATTCAAACTGCACGCTGAATTGGTTTTTCGGACTTATATTATAAATACAATTAAACTCTCTACTATAATAATAATACGAATTAAATTAAATTATTAAGCAATTTTTAATAATAATTTGATGCTCAATCAGGCATCATATTAGAAAGATGTTAATGTGCTGAAAAACTGTAAAATAAATTTATTGCGAAAAATATTACCTCGGCCGGGAGTCGAACCCGGATCTCTTGTATTCCGAGCGTCCTAAGCCATTAGACCACCGAGGCTTTAAT